AAATCATCTTCACTCTTGATATCAAAAGTCTTTCGGAATACYGAAGATGTCGTAATATGAGCTGAGGTACCAGAGAAATACTTTGGTGAGAAGAAYGCACGATGGTGAGATGCAAGTCGATGTGCCATTGTTCTAAAAAAATGATAATAAATTAACCTGTCAACAATCTGGCTTTGTACCAAAGGATGTACGAATGAGCTTTCAATGACAAATAATATTGAGGCCAATCTATTTTTCTCAGAATTTCTTTTAAGAGTTTGAACTGTTCCAATWTATTTTAGGATGTGCTGGTGTTATGCACTGCATAATGAAAATTATACCTCTTATTGCTGTGGTTGTTAGCTTGAGCCATGTAAAAACCATTACATTATTTTTGTGTAGAGTTGATCCTTCGTTTCAAGGGTTTTTTGCTAGGTTTTCCATTTTCCTCCCTTTCCAAAAATCAACTTCTAACTTCTAACTTCATCATGGATATGTTGGTCACAGGTTTTAACAATTTTAAAAAAAAGATTGTTGAAGTTTTGGATGCATGTTGCATGTTGCATACTGCATCTTGCATGTTGTATCTTGCTTACTGAAGTTTGTAATGCATTGTGTTCATAAATGTTACAGATGTTYATATACTAAAATATGCTAAATATGCATATGAAAATCTTTTTAAATACGATAGTATATAAGCTTATTAATAATTGTAATAAGCTTCATACAAACAAGCTCAACAAGTGACAAAGKTATGTCAAAAACACTGAAATATTTTACTAAATTTTAAGCTATAGAATTTGTTGTATTATATTAAGGAGGCATTAGTAATGTTCATACTTTCATTTCTTACCTTATTTAAATGTTTTAAAGGAATAGAACAAATGATCAAAGAGAATAGTCTTTTGTTGACGAAAATGTTCTAATTTTTTTCAGTAAACATTCCAGTCCCTCTCGACCAAGTCGATGGGCATTGTGGGTACACAGGAAACCCAAAAATATAAAGAAAAAAAAAACCAATTTGACTTTTTTAACTTAAAAATTTAAATTTAAATTCCAAAACAACACATTGAAATATTTTAGAAGTATTAAGAATTATGGGAAGGGAAAAGGTTTAACTTATTTTATTTCATTTTTACTATTTGATATTTTTTGAGGTGCTTGCTAGATACAAATGTGGAAATATTAACCAGAAAATATTTACTTCACTTTTCCAAATGGATGATAATTATTTTTTCACAAATTTGGAAAAAAATTCTTTTTGAGAAAAAATTTATTTGGTGTTCAAAAATATACGATTTAAGAATTTCTTACGGTGCATTGTGGGTCAAGGTTGCTAATAGCAACAAAATGGCGGCAATGTTTACATACAAACAGTCGAGTGTTCTTCGTGGTTCCTTGGTTTTGACTTTTGATTTCTTTATCATTTAATCCGCTTTTCTCTTCGAAAACACAAGAATTCAACTAARCGTGGTGAGATGAATGCATTTCCTAAGTGATAAGGTAAGAAATCCTGAATTCATTAACTTTTGACGAGACTTCAGCTGATTTTTTTCACGTTGTTTGTTTTTGCTGCTGATAAAGTTTGTCTTAATAGAACGTCGTTCATAATATCTGAGGCATGAAAACCTCGAGCAATGCAGGTTATCCCAAGATTATTCCCTCTGTCTAAATGACAGATAATAATTCCTTACCATGTAACAAAAAATTTCAGGCTTTTCTGAACGGAGCTCAAGATGGTTGACAACGAAAAAATGGCATCCCAAGTAAAGACGGCTCTGGCTGAAATGGTTCTACCAGAAACTTTAGATGATATAGAAGAATACTTAAAGCCAGAATTTCCACCAAGGTATCAAGTACGAAAGACGAAAGAGGAAGAAGATGAAGACGAAGTTAATGGACGAAGGATCGTTATGGATGGGTTTGGTAGATGGAGAGAAATCAGGCCAAGAAAATATATACAAAAGAAAAAACTTAACTTAACTATAGATCATAACCAACTTCCTCAAATGAAAGAACTTTTTAGAATAAATTCCTCAGCATCGGGTGGACAAGAGGACCAGTATCACATGCATGATAATAAATCATTTACTTTTCCTGGACTGCRATCAAGGTATAATGAGCAGCATCAGACTACCAGGCAGCCGTCCAGGCAACCGTCCAGGCAAGGTAGATCTTCACAGCTGAAACACCGAAATTCATCTGAAGATGACTTTATGTATGACAGCCTTGGAAAGACGACCAGGTCGAATGTTTTTCCAGGAATCGGGAAACTTCAGTGGAACACCACAAYGGCCAGAACTTTCACAAAGCAACCAATCACAGCAGTGAATGAAAGAAAGAACTTCTTTGGTATTCAGTCGGATGATTTTGGTGCATGGTCGGCAGCTAATGTTTTGAATGAAAGAATGAAAAAGGCATGGGAAGAGTWCCTGGCATCAGCACCAAAAGCAACAGGTAGAGTATACCAGTATAAGTTTTATACTAGTCTAGCCATCCTGGTGCAATGGGATAGGGGAAAATAGATGATCTAGATGTTACTATACAGATTTTCAAGGCTTTCAATATTCTGAAATAACCTTTGGGCTGATCAGGGTAAGGCCAATCCACAGATCACACCCTGGAACAACCTTAGGCTTTGATGAGGGAGCAAACTCAAAAAACCCTTGAATCAAAGGAAAAGAAACTCTACTTATATTAAATGCAATGTCGATTCATAAAATTGAACCCAAGACCCCAGTACTCCTCAGAGGCAGATCCAGGGGGGTGTCCTGTGGTGTACCAGACACCCCCCTAACACCTTAATAAAATTATTACTCATGCTTTTTTGAAGTGATGCATATCTCTATAAATATTTGATCATTTGGGACACCCCCCTAACAAATTCCTGGATCTGCCCAGCTGCAGCTACTTCTTCCTTAATTCCTAATCTAACTAATCTGTCAATCAAAATCCTTTACAGCTAATTGGAATCCTCCAGCCACCCAGCATGCTATGCCRAAACCTCCACCACCCAAACCTAGTGCAAAGAAAAACCCACCCAAAACTAAAGTTAAAGCCAAAAAGGAGAATATAGTAACAGAACCTTATCCGTTACAGGAACCCGACCCAGCAAGTGAACCCCAAGCTCAGCAAGCACCACCACCCTACATACCAGCCGAYGATGAAGATGGAGATGATAACTTTTGGGAATTCTATGATAAACCATTTAATAAGCCTAAATAGTAACTATATTTTGTATAGGATATGAGATTATTATTTTATTACTCTTTAAGGAAATGATAACTACAGATGGTACTTGTATAATGGCTGAGAAAATGAAAGTTAAGAAGAAAAATGATTTCCATTCTTCAACTTAATGTTCTCTGCTTTCCTTGCCTCAAATATAAATGAGAATATTAAAAATGGATTGCAGAGAAAGCCTCTTCTTCCCCTGCATTCCAATAGACCTCCTCGGCTCTGACGTAATGTTTTCCCATTTCAGACCATGTSTCATTCCCAAGAGTATCATTTCTTTGTTTAAGGCTTGCGCTCGGTTGCACATGAGAAGACACATGAATATGGATACARYTCAAACAAAGAATSTTATTCTCAAGKGAATGACACWTGGTCAGAAATGGGACAACATTACATCGAGCAGAGGAGGTCTATTGTTAGGGCTTAAAATAATGGCCGCTCAGTCGTCGGTCATGATCACAGGAGAAATTAGTTAGCTTAATCATACCTCATTTCTGGCTAAATGTTACTGGTCAAAATGACCGACAAGGTAAAGATTTGACCAGACAAGTCCCAGTTCTAGCTGGACACTGCACATGTCAAGACTTTATTTTAATCGCTGAATTGGAATTTCGAGTTGCAATGTCCTTGAGTCACATTTTAATCATTCTTCTGTCATTCAGTCTAACACCATCTTGGATAATGTCCGTATAGATGACTTCTTTATGCTGTAAATTCTTTCACTGTCAAGACACTAATTTGTGCTTGAGAAGACATTTGAATAGTTTGGATAAAAATCCACCATCTAAAAAAATGTCTGTGTAGATGACTTTTTTATGCTGTAAATTCTTTCACTGTTGAGAGAAACTCCTTTAGCAAACCTTACACTGTAAACAACTCTCATYGTTACATGATTTCTAGAAATGATATCCTTACTCTACATTTCGGAGAGAATTTCACTGGCAATTTGTCTTTCAAGAGGATAGAGCCCTGATTGTATGTCTGGGAAAACAGATTCTTGTTCACTGTTGTTGAACATTACTGATGGTACCTCCATATCAATGTTCTTGAGTGCCGAGTCTGACAGCATGACAGACGATGAAGGAAAGGTTTGGGGGTTTAATGGCTCTGGTTTTTGCTCTGGTTGATTATCTGTGGAGAAAGATCAGAGAACGTTTTAGCAAAGAAATAGGTTCAAAAGGTCAGACAGACAGCCTGGCAAGAAGGCAGACAGACAGACAAGACAGGGGTAGGCAGATTGGCAGACAGCTACTGTAAGAAAGCAGACAGACAGACAGACAGGCAGACAGACAGACAGGACAGCAAACCAAGCTGAAGAGGGCAGTAGATTGACAGAAAGGCAAATGTAGGGACTGACTGACAGACAGAAGACAAGTGAGATGGACAAAAAGACAGACAGGACAGAATGACACTTGTACAAACTAAAAAGCACAAGACAACCTTTCAAGGTAATTAACAAGACAACAGATTCATGCAAGTTTTTTTTCAGAAGAACAATGAAATTGGAGAATTTTTGGGGAAAAAAATCAATAAAGGACAAAGGTTGATATCCAACTTTTAGCAAATATTACAAACTCAAACCTGTAATTTTCTGCTTTTTTGTTTTTGGTGCATTTTTTGTACTGCCTATAGTTGGTGTCTTCGTAGAAGATCCTTTTTTCTTTGGGGTACCAGACTCAACTGGGTGGCTTCTCTTYTTTAGCGCTGTTTTAATCTGAGCCCTGGATGCATAGAAAGAGAAAGTTCAGTCCATATTTGCAGTTAATTAAATATTGCTTGCACAAAAAGCCAGCTTTTACTTCAACTTTTTGTGTTTATTTTTGTAAAAAAAATTATAATGGTTTAGCGTGRTACTGTATGTCCTCTTAGTTACCACAAAATAATGTCAACAGTTGGTCAAAATGTTATGTACTCACAAGTTTATTTATTTTTTATAAAATATTATAAATATTAAGATGCACACGCTGATTGGCTGGATACAGTGTTTATATCAGAGGACAGACTACATGCTCATGATAGGCAATAGGTCATTCTGACATGGAAATGGTTTCTTTGAATACAAAGAACATCGAATCAGTCTCAGCACTAAGGTCCTTCTTCTTGACAAGAATAAGAAGCAGAAAAACAAGTTATTTCAGCTATTCTTGGATCTTGGAATGACCTATCCATTTCCTATCGATTTCCACCTATTTCCTATTGCCTATCGCCTTTGGTGTAGACAAATTTTTTCTAATTAGGTGTATCACAGTACAGAGAATGCATGTGCATTTTATATTCCTTAAATATAAGTATGTGATATCATTWTATTATTAACAGAGCACAGTAGGTAAGTAAACATTCCTTCTCTACATACACTGATTTTGTCTTGATATGTTCACTTATTTCCTTAAGGTCGTCTCCAAATTTTGTCACTGCAGTTCTCAGCATTTCTATTTCCTTTTCTCCCCATTTCTCACTGAGTGAAGCAAAATGAATGTGTTAACTAAGGAATCATTTAACTTACCTACAATGTCGTCCTATTGGGATTTTGAAAAGAAAAAAATCTATAGATAATGATCAGACATCCCAGCCATTTTTAGGACAAATTGAAGTTTGAAGTTTGACCTAAGCCTTAAGTCCCCGTCCACACATATCCGGAAATTTTTGTATCCGCAAATTATTTTTTGTGGATGCGAAAATGTTTGYGTCCAYGTGCAGCGTATTCGAATCGTTTTCACCCTCCACACGTATCCRTTTTCGTAAAATTTGTGGATACGGACACAAAAATTTGCAGACATGTGTGGACGCAACCGGTATCCGTTAAAAAAAATTTGTGGATACAAAATTTTCCAGATACGTGTGGACTGCGCCTAAGTCTTACTCAAGTAATGATGAAAAGGTAAATTATACACCATGAAAAGATGAAAAAACTTACTGACGTTTCGGACGCTAGTCTATAATTTACCTTTTCATCATTACTGTTTCATTAGAAACACCGACACAGCTCACATTAGTTTTTAGCTAGTTATATCTTTTCCTTACTCAAGTAATAATTATCTTGGGGGGGGATCACCATTATTTTAAAAAAATACTTGTCTCAGACCTGTTGCCTGAATGCGAAGAAGTTGAATCACCCAAAGGATGAAGCTGCATTGTGAGGTCACCCAGCCTTGCAAACGCTTCCCCTGCTGCCGTGAATATCTCAGCAACCTACAGAAAATACAGCAAGTTTGACATGTCTTTTCTCACACATGTTACAGAAAAACACTCTGTAGGTTGTGATTCCAAAGCTAAAAATTAAGGATAATTGGTGGCTAGACATTTACTACTGACCACATCAGACCAAGCAACATCTGASTAGTAGGACCAACATAAGAGTGACTTAGTACCAGTGCAAAACAATACAATAAATACAACGGAAAGCGTCTTTATTTACCTTAGAAGTTGATGATGCCATTTTAAAAACGAATTCTTTATCCTCGATTATTTTGTAGATTCACAACATTAATACACAGATGTCTCGAACAAACAGTTCTCGATGAGGTTATRACATCCAATCCTGAAGAAARCAGATSAATTGTACGTTTGAATTGAATCTTTTTGATCGAAATCTCTCACATGACAAAAGTATTCATTCAAATTGAGCTTCATTTCTGAGCCATTTTAGCATTTTGAATAGACAAATAATAAGGATATTATATATATGTTATAAATGGCAACATACCTTGGTGTTYAGATAATATTAATCCTTATTAATCAGTTATTTTTCAACTCAYTCTTGACTCTCTTTGTTCATCATTTGCCGCCATTTTGAACCTAGTTACCAGTCCMTCACAGTCAGATTTTCCCAGAATGCAATTCGTTACACAGGCAGCCCAAGAAGGTGAACTGTTTCTGTTGTTGTTTCTTCTCTCTATTCTTTCCTTGGCTTGTTTGATCATTCTCTTTGTTTTTCCTTCCTGCATTCCTGCAATAGCGTTGYATTGTTACATCCATTTTTCTTTCTCTCTCTCTCTCTCTCTTTTTCTTTCTTTCATTCTTTCTTACTTTTCTTCCTTCCTTTCTTCCTTTTTTTCCAACTCCCCTCTTTCCTTTTTTCTCTTTATGTAATTCTTTCCTCTTTTCTTTCTTTCCTCGTTGTAATCACAGAAGACAGCAGCCGTGCTTTCCCGCCGGCCTTTTTACTTACAAACGTCAGCCTTTAAATAAAAACATTTTTAATCTAATTTTTTATTCCATTCAACGGCGATTTTACATTTTTTGGCTCCCCCCCTCCCCCGTTGTATTCAAAAATACAACTGAGACATAAAGCATTCCTTTACAACAAAACGGAACAGCCAAAAATCTCGGGAAGAATCTACAGGCATAACCTCATGAGGAAGGGAGCCGCTGCAGTTATGCGAAGAACTGTTTATGCATGAAATTGGTCGCGGTCACCAGAATAATAAAAAAAAAAATTATTGAAATTGAAATCTAATAAAMTAAAAAATAAAATAGAGTAAAGTCACTAATGCCGTGCAGATATTACACTGATACACTTTRGTAGAACATAATTCCATTGTTTTCTTTTGTGTTTATTTGACTATTACACGTTGACTAGTATTTTTTATTTCACGGGTTAAAATGCCTACACTCTAATACATTTCAAAGAGAAAAAGAAAGGAAAAAAAGCGAGCAAACAACGTAAAGCGCGCGGAGTATGCGCGCGCACAAAAACAAACGATAGCAAATGGCATTCTAAAAATAGCATCAAACGGTGCCCATGATGATAACAAACATAAATACCAGAGATTCTTTCTATTGGTTCATTTTCACTTGATGAAAAGATTCATTAACATGAATGTATCTTATTGCAAATAGGTTTGAAATACAAACACATAACAGCCATATAAAAATAGCAAAAGAGTTCGTTCATCGATATACCATTCGTTCAGTCATACAGTTACACGTGGTTCGAGTTGTAGTCGCAATGCCTTGTGGATCTATTTTTGGGTACATTTTTCCAAGATGCTATCTGTTTTTGTCCCCTAAAACGGCCCCACAATGCACTGCAATGCCAACTCGAACAAGTTTTATCTCGGAATTGCTATCAATAACCCGTTTACGAATTTTGAAATAGGCCCTTTGCAGCTAAGCAATCACGTGCTGATTWATTCACTGAGAGCAAATGAATGAACATCTTGATTCCCATGGTTGAAACATACTGGACTGCAAACAAACTTTCTACAACATGTTTCGAGAGATCGTAATAAAACTGCATTTCGTAACACACTGGATACACATGTTTTCATTTCAGTTCTTTACAAGTACCTAAAAAGAATCACCAATGTAATATAAAAACATAAATTTTGCAGTCCAGTACAGACACGTGACCGTGCAAAGGGCCTATTACATGACGAAAGCTTGTATGATTATGAGGATGGGGCTAATGTGTGAGACTGCCAAATATCTTGTCTGTCTGTCTGTCCGTGATCAAGTTGTGGTTATCATGATGGAGAATACAAAGTCCATACTGTACATCTTTTGAAAAACCTTAGTAACTAAAAAAAAAAGATTTATCCTTCCAAAGTTCATAACAAGTATATGCACGTATGGAATTGTGGGATCCACCATCTTAACAAATCAATTTGGAAAGCCGAATCGTTAACAAAAAACAAAGGTTTTCTACAGTAAAGCACGCTTTTTAAGGAATTTTTCTAGCCATGTTTCCACTTCGTTTTCATTATCTTCAAGCCACTTGATGTTTGCTTTAACTCGGTCTAAGGCTTGCTTGAGGGCGAGGGTGCCGGAACCCGCGTCTGGATGTTTGGCATTGAATGCTATTAACTAAAATTACAGAAAGAAATATATATACATATGATTGAAGATTAACTTTGGTTTTTATGAGTTTTTATGAGTCACTTGACGTCATATTTTTATATCAAGCCATCACAGCCATGTTGGTGTACTTTAACAAAAGATTTCTCGTTAGCTTCTCTTGTTACGGTACACCAACATGGCCGCCATGTCTTTGTCATTTGAATCATTCTGTTATGACGTCATCACCGCCATGTTGGTGTACGTTAACAAAACATTTCTCATTATCTTCTCTTGTTATGTAAACCAACATGGCCGCCATGTCTTTGTCATTTGAATCATTCAGTTATGACGTCATCACCGCCATGTTGGTGTACGATAACAAACGATTTCTCGTTACCTTCTCTTGTTATGTACACCAACATGGCCGCCAGGTCTTTGTCATTTGAATCATTCAGTTTGTTTCCATGTGACGTTATTACCGCCATGTTGGTGTACGTTAACAAAAGATTTCTCGTTAGCTTCTCTTGTTATGTACACAACATGGTCGCCAGGTCTTTGTCATTTGAATCATTCAGTTTCCCATGTGACGTCATCACCGCCATTTTGTTGTGATGTCAATAATTGTTTTACTCACCTCCTTAAGCTGATATTCACTAGTGAATCCTCTGGTAACCGAGGCAATGAGAGAACTAAACGGAAAAAAACCTCCACCATACCTAGTAAAAAAAACAAGAACGAGGAAAATAAGGTTGACGATGACGTCATGTAGATGAAATCATATATTCAATAGATAGAT